CCCCCCCCTCAGCACAGCTTATAAAAAAACCAGTAATCCCTTCCAATGCTTGACTTCTACAATGTGTTAAAACAATTGTGACTTCCTCAGAGAAAGCTCGTCATTTTTTTACTCACAACTCACACTATCAGTACAATCGACTCGACACCTTATATTTAAGTTTTTATTTAGCTTTGTTTGTTCGGAAAGACAAAAGTCGCTCAGCGAACAAAAAGAATATGAAGAGGTTCTGTGGCACAGGATACTGAGAGAATCGCGGTGCTCGTTTAATAACCAGGAGCTGTACGGGGTGGAGGGCAGTGGTCGCATCCTCCTGAAAAAGGATATCTGCAGCGGCAACCGAAATAATGTCATGAAACGGTTATCAAATGATCATATGTTATGAAACGGCATGATAGCTAACTCACCGGCTGGTCCTGTTTCCCCATCTGGTCCATTGTCTCCGTTGGCCCCAGGCTGTCCGGGTGCTCCCGCGGATCCATTGTCCCCAGGAGGTCCTTGCGGTCCTGGTTGACCGGGTTGTCCGTCAGATCCAGGCTGCCCATCAGGTCCTGGAGGTCCTTGAGGTCCAGGTGGACCAGGAGGGCCGTTGGGACCGGGAACTTCATGAAGCTGTCCAGGAGCTCCAGGGGCTCCTGGGTTTCCTGGCTGTCCATCGTTTCCTGGTGGTCCAGGTGGTCCTTGAGGTCCTGGAGGTCCAGCCTGTCCTGGTGCTCCAGGTTGTCCATCTGCTCCGGGGTTTCCGGTAGGTCCCTTGGGTCCTGGGTTTCCAGGAGGCCCGGTGGGCCCATCTGGGCAGTCGAAGCAAAAGTCGTGTTGGGGAGCAGGAGTTGCCGGCGGTCCATCAGGTCCATCCTTGCCCGGTGCACCAGGTTGACCATCAGCACCATCTTCTCCATTTGGTCCCGGAGCTCCAGGAGGACCAGCAGGCGATACCCCACAACCACAACAACCGCCAGCGGAGGACGATTCAAAACTGCCCTCAACACCAGCTGAGGAATATCCCGCTTGACGGCGGCTTCTGAGAGCTCCTCCAGAAACCTTGGCGAGCACCTGAAATTGTCGATGATGAGTGAGCGATCAGATAGAGTAGTCGTCATTGCACCGCGTATCGAATAAATCTAACCTGTGTTCGAGTCACCTCTCGCCATATGTTTCCGGAACGAGATTTGCAGAAATCGACTTCGCTCTGCATGACCGATTGCATGTGCTGCATGTAGTTGTAGAGCATCGGTACTGAGATGACACAAACAAGAGTGGCCATCGTGGAAATGGCAACACCGAAAAAGGCGACTCTGCGAAGAGAGTTAGCCTCTACCTCGAGCTCCTTGTCGTTGCTCATCTGAAATCACTAATGAATGACCTCAAAAAAATTACACTAACGCCAAGTAAGATTTTGCAAGTGACGATATTGCGCACTCATCTCCCTGTTGTTATGAATTACTTTAACGTTTTTGGATGTTTACGAAAATATGAATTCATGACTGAATTTCGACCTCCTTTGCAAATGCGTCAGCTTTAGGAAAGCGGAGTTGGAAATCCTGGCAAGAAATCATATGAGAATAAGGCGCCAAAGTGAGAGGTGATAATCTAGTCCGGGTATGATAGTCGAGAAACAGATGGACTAGTAGCGATTGCAAGAATGGTAAGATGACTTACCGTTGTTGTGTACGATGCAATACCCACCTGGTATCTCCCTGAGGCGAGTTGCCTTTTATAGTCGAGTAGGGCGGTGATTGCGTGGCCAGAGTAGGGCGAAATAGCATGTGTTGAATGTGAAACTGGGCGACAGAGTGCGGGATTCATGAGAAGGCAGGCCAAGGTCGACGTTTCACGCCAACGGGTTCCCTGTTTGTAAGCCGACCGATGTCAATTAAGGTTCGAGACCAATATTCTCCTCAGGGTTAACTGAGATTTGAAACGTATGAGAGAAGTCTTTTTTCTGTTACAGTGAAGTTTAGTATGTGCTCGGACATGGGCAAGGCTTCTTACATCAATCCTACTCAACAACATCCTCTTATTCTTCATTTTGAGTTTTAATAGGGTAAAGTTTCGGTTTGCAGTCACCTGGCTGGCCTTTTAGATCGTCTTCATGTTTGCCACTTCATCGTATTGAAGTGCTTTCCAATCAGAGACAAATATATGACTCAAGCTCATGATCAAGCTGTCTGTAAATGCTCACAAGTGCAAACGCTGACAGTAGCTTCAAAAGCGATTTTGCAGTCAGTTTCCTCCTATTTTTTAGCATTCTTCTACAACATGAAGCACTTGCAACCTTCTCTAAGAACCGACACTTCTGTCCACCACTCGACTTTCACCTCTCGTAGGAAATCTTTCAAACCTCACACATTCAAAAGTTCCTTCAACTAATCAGATTTTCAGATCGGCATTTCTATTACCTCCAGTCTCTTGACTCATCATGATAGGGGAATAATTTAGATAGATGTATTTCAATCTTTAAGGAAAGCATTTCTTGATTTTTGCTATTATCGATCACAAGAACTTTGTTCAATCGAATCGATGTTCGGCTGGAGAGCTCATTAACTAGAACGTACACAAGGTTCCACCGGTAGCGTGCCCTGAAAAAACTCCAGCGAAATGATGGCGAATTTGGGATGTGCGCCGTTCGTTCCAGTCAACCAAAAGTTGATCGATTCCATGCATGAAAGTAATTGATCTGAAACGTTGTGATCAAGTGGGGTTCGTTGAACAGCATTTTTTTTATCCTTGGTCAAATCTTCCTGTTAGTTTAGATACGACTATTATAGCCAAAGCTCAAGCATGTAGATCATTCGACGTGATGACATTCAATAACCGTACGCAGTTTTCTATTCTTTAGGCGCTTTGTCATGATGACCAGCTATGACACATTTCAACGTTTATATAGTGAATAATAAGCGTTTCCTTAATGGCCTTTATTCTCTGGTCAGTATGAGGAATCTCGAAGAATCATCACATACTCTCCTGAATGAAGTTCGAATGTTTTATGCTGTATTTTGCATTCTCGAACCGAGTGTCAACCGAACTGTCTCGACCAGGTGTCTTTTTTCTCAAGCACAAAGCGCCAATAGGTTCAATTCGAATCCAGTGTTACAGATACGCGAAGATTGCTGCTTCCTGTGTGATGTTTCCAAGCAACACTCACATAGTTGCACACTTCCACACAGAGTGCACACGCATTGTGCCATTTATCAGGACCTTCGTTAACCATTCCGCACAGCAGCCCACTCGACATCATTCTTGAGCTATTGGGAGTCGTCAGAGCCATCAATAAGCCCTGGCATACGTAAGCATGATTCAGTCATGCGACCCGCAATAGGCGCAAAATCACACTTTTGATCAGTGCGCGCATTAAATCATGCCCTGTTTCGATCAAACGTTTTCTAGATTGACGACATTCTTAGCGCAACAACGCGTCCCAGTTATTCACCTCTACTGCCCCTCTTCCTGGTTTAGTTCACTGATATGTGGTCTCCGTATTCATGAAACATTGAAATTTCCATTCTGGTGGCCTGAATGTAATTTCATAAGATTGAAGAAAGGGCACAACTCATGTGTAACACAAAGCGCTAGTACGCAGAGAAGGGAGATTAGTGAGTCCGTATGGCGCCCAGAAGCGTTTCTTAGCAGTGGAATACATTTTTAGCTATGTCCCCAGAAGGGAGAAGCCCTGGAATGGCTGAGTGCTCTCAAAGTAGTACGCTAGCACACTACCGCTCATACTTTTGAATAGAAATGGTTCAATGGTTGACTGAATGCTTGATTTTTCCGCCACCCTAGCTCTTCGCATGAGGTGGTCATTCCCTTGCTACCGTGATACTCCTTCCCTCCTTTAGTTTCTCAGCACCGTCACATGCCCACGCAGCTGACTTCTCCTCAGTCTCTGCCCTCTATCGCTCAGTGCTAGAGACGAGGAGTCCCCAACCCCTTCCACTAACTACATTTTTACCGCAACTGCTGTAGCGGAACAATTCTTTTCAGCATGGGGGGGGGGGGGACCTTCATACCGACTTACAATTTGATATGGCAGGGTTTTGGTCATGATTTTCAAAAAAGATCAGAGATTAACAGATAGTGGGAGCAAAACTATCTAATCATATTGCTCGTCTGTGGTCAAGAGAGAACTGTGCTCTTCACTTATGTTAATAATTATCTTTTGTTTAACTCTTCCTGAAGAGTGTCTACATTAATAGATGAGGTACTCTTCGTGTGTAGCTTCAACAACTTCACTAGGCTGAATATTCACAAAATGAAATGGGCTTCTACATGCCTTTTCCACGAATTTCATTGTTGTCTGCCGAACTTGACCGTTCACTAGGATCGTTGTGAGAAAAGGGATTCGCATGTGTCAAACTAAACGGTACCTGTTATATGCTAACAACATGGCGACAAGATGATGACCGATGTTTTTTCACTAAACGTCCCAATGGTGTTGCCCACACATCTTCATCAGTGCTAACTCTTTTTTTCGTCGCGTTGCAAAGTGTAGGGTGTTACAAAATTGAAGAAGGACACAACCAACTGCTATTCAAATAATCATTTATTGTGCATTCCTCCTAACGTGTATTAAGGCTTCGCAGTTTTCTTAGAATGTCTTTCTCATATAGAGACAGCCTTCAACTGCTGACAATACGGAATATTTACTTAACAACTATCATTTCATTTTTTATTTACGGAGGTGTCCTAGAAATCGGGTGTGACAGCACTCACTCAACATACTAAACGTATAAGCGCAACAGGCAACGAAGAAACTATGCCTTATAGGTGAAAAAGTTTCCCGCTTTTCAGTGACCAGCTATGTTTAGTATTGTCCTTGATCAAAAATGTTGAACAGAGCAAATACCGCATGTATGAGATGCATTTGACTTGTACTGATTAGGAACGTTCTAATAACTCTCATCCACTCGTCCATTTAATTGACTTGATGTTTGGCCTGCGCTTATTTAGTTTTTATATTTCCTTCTCGGTATGTGAGAGCGCGCCATTGGCGCAGAAATAAATAAACAAAAGAATAAAAACGAATCCTTTTGTTATAGGAAATTCAGACATTTGAAAAGGCTCTCGAAGAGTCACCAAATACAAAGTACACACTTTTACCCGCTTCAATCCTCTCGAGTTGACTGGTAATGTTTCATTGAGTAAAGACACAGTGTTCTCTGCCTTCGATATTTCAGGCCATATCCTGTTTGAATAGATCCTCGAGGTAAGCCTGGGGTGCAAGATCGCGAACATTCCTTTTAAAAGGTGACGAAAGAAAAGCTAGGAGGTGAGGGGTTTAGGAATTGTCTAATATTGTTCCTTTTGATTGAAAACGGCAATCATGGGAAATGTCTGTTATCAGTGGAACAGCGATGGTGTGCATTCCATACTCTTTCTTATTCACAATGCGTTCTTGGCAAAAGCGACCTACGCTGAGACTCAGTCGTTGAACAGTTGTTTTAAAGCATTTGGCGCATCTAGGCTGATTACGCTGTTCCCATACATAGTGACAAAATTATGTTCATTTACGTCGTTAATAAACAAAAAAGCGCTTGTGATGACAAGAAGTGCCCTATCGATTTCACCTTTCCGAGTCTTTGAGCCTTACCTCAGTCATCTGGAAGAAGGGACCTAGGGCACGCACACAAGATATATTGCAGAATGGTGATTAGCAATGACTTTGTCGTGTTTGAAGTAAGGTCTGGAATTGCAGCTGTGTGACCAATAAAACAAAGTTTTGAGAAATGGTTTTGACGTGAAGAAAGGAGAACGCCATTGAAAGGCTTGTATGTCTAACGTAAGTAAAGAATACGCAGTCAGTTAACAACATCTAGTATGATATATGTACCATAGTAGTGTGATACATTTATCTAGTATCTTCTCTCGTGAATATCATGAGATCAGTTAGAAGTGATTTAGCATCGTTAGATTCCTTTGGATCCTTATTATGTTGCTACCGTTCCTGTCATGAACTCGGCAATTGCACTTGATTGACCTGCATGCTCAAAGTGTGAGACGAAGCTCCTCTTCCATCTAGGAAATTCCGGTTTTTTTTTTGCAGGATCACTGCTTAATGTCGCTGATCCAAAACA